CACTGAAAATGACGAGAGAGCTTATTGTTTCAGAGTAGTAACTTATACTGAAAGACAAAAATGGTTTGGTCAACCAGGAATTCAACTTAAAGTTTCTGGTAATCCACTTCACTCCTTCGTTTCTATTAATAATTTTATTTCTTGGTCTTGGTTAGATAGATGTGTTTCTCCAGCTCTTCAGGTAAAGGCACCACAGCTGGTGCTGGAGAAAGAAAGAGTCAATCTGACCTGTGAAACCACATGCAGTCTGACAGACGCATTCATCTGGTACAAAAATTAACAGGCTTTAAAGATCCACAGCGAAACACTCCAGCTTCAGTCAGAGTGCAGTGATTCTGGCCGTTACAGCTGCGCCGTCAGAGGACATGAACACCTGCCCTCTCCTGCTGTCAGCATCACGCTCATGTGTGAGTAGATACTTCAACCAGACAATAAATCAGAAAATCTCTGCATTTGAATACAAGGGGTTTTGCATATGAGCCCCTGCTGGTAGATAATATAACTACTATTTTCTATTAAATAGACAAACATTTCCTTTAACTTTAATACACAAACCAATGCAATGCATAATTCAAAATATGAGTAAAACACCTGAAAAAAAATCCTGGATTGACATTAATTTATATGAGGTTCTGTAGGTATAGCATGTTAATTATCATACACTTTCAAACGTTACAAATGTGCAGAGCTGAATGTTCATGGATTGCAGTAAAATCACAAAAGTAGTTCCAGTTTGTGTCACAATGATTCTGTTGCAGACGTCTGCAGGAAAGGCCTCTGAATCCAGAGATCCTGAAAATGCTTCTGTTCAAGTTGAAAGAGATACAGACACAAATAAACCTGAAGAGGAGGAGATTGAGTACACCAGCATTACAATTCACCATCCAGCTAATGAAGCCAAGTGAGAAAACATGAATTATTCTGTCTCAACATAAGCCATTTGCAATGTGCTTCTTACAGAAAACAGCACCAGAAATAAACCAACAGTTCACATTTTTGTTTCATGAAACACGCACTAAAGGCCAGTCTTTGCATAGCAGCTTTAAAGGGGTGGTTCAGTGTTTTTTTTCTAGGCTTGATTGTGTTTATGGGGTGCAGTCTAACATGTGTTAATGCTTCGTTTTTTTAAAAACGCATTATTTTTCACATAATTTACCTTTATTCCACACCGCTCTGTCCCTTCTCTGAGAAATGGGCAGATCTTTTCCTTCTTTTATGAAGCCACTCCCTCAAAAATAGGCGATGGGCTTTGATTGGTTAGCTAGCCCAGTGTGTTGTGATTGGCTAAACCGCCTCTAGTGCGCATCTGATTAAAGCTTTAATACAGTACGGCAACTGCACGCGGGTCCATGTTTAACGCTTCTCATAGCTATGTGAAAATAAGTGTATAATTGGAACAGTTCATTGTTGGAGCTGAGCTGAATGAGAGAGAGAGAGAGAGAGAGAGAGATGCAGACCGTGTGCAGAGCGAGGGAACGCGAGGAACAGTATTAAGAACCGCTGCTTTAGAACATTGATTTTGAAACTTGTGAATCCATTAGAATCGTTAGAAGACGTTTTTTTTAGAAGATTTTTACGTGCAACTCTAGTTTTCTCTTCCTCTTCTCTAAAGCAGCGCAGCATGGCCTCGCCCCCTTTGCTGGCTTTTCCCGAGGGTGGGGTTTATCTGGGTTTGTGATGTCACAAACCCAGGAAGTAACTCGTTGTAGTCCCTACCAACCGTTTTTGTAGGCATTAAACTGCCAGAATTTTAAAAGACGACATCTCCGTCTGAATTGAACTTTCAGCTTCGTAACTTTGCAGATATTGTTTATGCTCAAACAGCAACATTACACACCAACTAACGTTAAAAAAGTTAAATCGCAATGAACCACCCCTTTAAAAGTCAGTTTAGCTTCATCAAGTTTCATGCTCTGTGATGATCTCACTCGTTTATGTATTTGTCATTTTTGCAGATCTGCTGCAAGCCAAGAGATGGATTTATCTGTGATTTACAGCAGCATTAGATGATCCAGACTAATCTAAGTAGATCCAGACCATAAAAAGACTTTTTCTTGCTTTAGTATTTTTTGTTTAATTTAATCATGTTTTTGAGTGTGCATTGTTTATTAAGCATCTGCAGCTCCATCTTAGTTAAAACTCTGATGCCTTACATCTCTTGTAATCCAAATAAACAAGCAAACACAGAGTGTAGTGACTACACTCTGTGTTTGTATGTAGTGTAAGGCATTTGTGATCTCTCTCTCTCCATATCTAGACATTTAAAGGATTTGCCGTTTTGTTTCTCATTCAAGTCACAGCATAAATATAATTTTGCAAAGTAAAATACATAGGCTTTTATTTACCTGTACTTAAATCAAGACCAGAGCACTGCAGGAACATGAACACATGTGAGACATGTTGATCAAAGTGAGTCGTCACACCTGCTCAGCTTTGGACAAAACTCACCTTTACAGAATGTATTGCCATATTTCATGTGCTAATAAAAAGGTACAAACACTTCAGTGATTTCAGAGTCTTCCCTTGTATCACGTACTTCTCACACGTTTAGTAAATTGCTAAAACTATATCTGAAAAATAAACCTACCATAATAATACTAAAGCCAAAGAGTGTGACAACTAACCTCATTCTGCAGAAATCTGGATAGATTTTCTTTTTTTTCTTTTCTGTCAATACTCAGTAAACTGCAGTACTGTAAACTCAACCACTAGGGGGAGCTGAACCCGCCGAGTGCGTGACAGGTGACAGGTGGATGGATTTGTAACTTGCTGACTAAAAGCGCGCGAGGTCTGTAAGGCATGTCGCGTGTTATCATAACATGTCTGTTCTATACGGTGCCCGAGAAGTGCAAAACAAATCACAATTCTGAAAACAAAATAACAAATTACAAACGCAAATGCAAATCTTAAAAACAAAATAACAATTCAGAAAACACAACAACAATTCAGAAAACATTATATATATATATATATATCTATATATATATATTTTTCCCTAGCTTAATTTCAGTTTGCTAATAATAATAATAATAATAAAGCAACTACCGGTATAATGTATGTATAATAATAAATAATTATAGTTGTTTTAGTTAACAATAACAACACCTGGTCAAGCTCAAATACCTATTTACATAACCAACAGGTGTTGTTATT